CCATATTTAGCCTTTTTTCAGGGGGAAAGTCGACTTTCGCCAAAATCGAATTTTTTTGCCGGGTGAACGTTGATTCCAACTATTTAAGCGCCGGGCTAGTCAGAATTGTCAAAAGTATGTGGAAAAAGTGAAAATTGAGAAACCGTTTTTTTTGGCCCCAGCCAAAGGGTCAGATTTTCGGGTTTTCCGGGGCAAGTGGATTTTCGCCGAAATCGAAATTTTTAGCCGGGTGAACGTTGATTCCAACTATTTAAGCGACGGGCTATTCAAAACTATCAAAAGTATGTGGAAAAAGTGAAAAATGAAAAAAAAATTTTTTCACCGGAGGCCAAATCTTGGATTTTTTCAGGGGGAAAGTCGACTTTCGTCAAAATCGAATTTTGTCGTTAAGTGAATGTTGAGTCTGTAGTTATTGGCTCCTCTAATGCCAGTGAGATAGTGACAGTATTGGACGCATAAATATCATTAAAAAAAGTATATTATGTCCCGAGGATACATAAACCGCGAATTTTACCTTCACTTTGTTCGACTCGAGCGCGGTTCTCGGTACTTGGGGCATAAAATATTATTTTATCTCCCTAGGACCATAAAACCGCAATTCTAACATTGATCCCCCCGGTTAAATCGCGGTTTCCTGGGCCCAGCCACATGCAATACTAAAGGGTCACCGGCGATACAACAATTTTCTGACTCGTGATTAAAATCCTCGCATTCGGCGCGAATTATAAAGCCACATTCGTCACAAAATATTTTCATCGCCTGGTGACATAATGTACTATTACATCCCGTAAGAGGGTCGTGGGAGGGTCTGAATGTAGAATCATTTGACAGAACGAAATAATACGTAGAATATCGATGACATTTCAATTCATGATAGTACTATGATATGAAAAAATAGAAGATGTGAACAGTGAAATAGTAATTAAAAAAAAGAGAATCCATTTGAAAGCAAATTGCAAATTCATTAGCAACATTAACTATCTTCATTTATAAAAAATCAAATTATCCACTTGTTTTTTTTAGAAAGGAGATATGGAATTTTTAGAACAGGACTGGCCGCTGCCCTAGTCCTAATTATCGTAGTCGCTGCTGCTGGTATTGCATTGCTATTTGGAATAAGAAATGCGACAATTTTACTGGGAATTCTGTTGCCACTTATGGTACTGAGCGCTGTAATTGCGCACCTGTGGCTCTGGTTGCTGCACAAACGCGCCGCCAAGAGACGAGAGAGAGCTGCGAATGAGTGGGTGTCTGCTACACTAGCACGACAGGTTTGAATTTCCTCAATTTTCCCTTCTATTTTTTTCTATCAAACAAATTAACTTTTTTTATTTACAAAAAAGTCTGTTTTAAATTTTGTCTGATCATGAATTACCCCCTTCACTTTGGAATTTTTTCTCGTTTTTGCCTCCGAATGGAAGCATTGTAATCGTTCAAATTTCAGTTTTGAATTTTTCGTGTTGAATTGACCAATTATGATACAAAATGTCCGAAAACGCAATTTTGAGACTGTGTCCGTACGTATGTACATATGTGCGTAGGTATGTAAACAAATCAGTCGCGAAATGGTAGAGTTTAAGTCGACTAATTTCCCACTCAAGTTTTTGACGAATATTTCCGAATCTAAGGGAGATAGCGCAATTTTCGTAATTACATTTATTGTAGCACTCAATCGGTTCCACAAAAAAGGTTATAACAAAATTTTTGCTATCTCAGGGTGAAAAGGTAATTTTTTGCGATTTTCACACAAAAAAAAATTTTTAACGTGATATATCTAAAAAAACCAAACAACTCCTACTGGAGAATGTTCCTAAGGACTCCCTCAATCCCCTAAAAAATCACCAACCCCCTGAAAAACGTACTTGAGGGTAGTAGAATGGTAGTTTTACCATTTCGATACTGGAATTTTTCGTCGATTGTTCGCTAATAAATCGATGGCATTGAATCTTTTTTTTTCCTCCAATGTAGGTATGGTTAAGCCCTAGCAATCGCCGTTAATTGAAATTTAATTCATTTATTAATTTTAAAATTGTTTTCAATTTTTCGAAAATTGTTTTCTCACGATAACTAAAAAAATTTCTGAATTGATTGAATGATGACCTAACAAATTTGTTTGGATGTCCTTTTGACCGAGTTCGAAGATGAAGACTATAGCAATAATCATTGTTTTGATTTATTTAAAAATTGGCAAAAATTCTGCGTTCTTTGAAAATCAGAATTGCCGTTTCTACTTTTACTCCTTTTCGTTCTATTTTTTTAAATAGAATGAAAAGAATGCAATTTGCCATTGGAGAAAGAAAATTAAACAATGAACTCAACGTTTAAAAAATTTAATTTAGGGCATTTGTCAGAGTTTAAGGGTCAGACTATCATAAGAGCAAATTTTTTTAGGGGTGTGTAAAAATATTTTTTAATCATTTACAAACTCGTTGCCACTTGAAAATAGTTAGTCCACATAATTTCCACTCTTAAACCCTCAAAAATCCCCTAAATTGATTTTTTTGCTCAGTTGAATTGTTTTGTTGAATCGAATTTTATTTGTAAACAAGAATTTTTCAGAGGATTTCACTAAACTAATTTTGTCTGACTGTGAATTACGCTTTCTACTTCAGAGCCAGGGACACGTGTCCTCGAGCCCGGGGAGCGGAAATCCTGATGCTTGGTTCAAGGGATTCTCTCAGCGATCTTCGGGATACACACCGCCCCCCGGATATCACATGGTCGAGTCGAGTAATTAAATTCGTGGGATGTTATCTTAGGGGCTCTGGAGCGAAAGGACTCAATTGTTAATTTAGTTGGGAAATTTAATAAATATTTATATGGGACTGTTTTTACATACATTTCTGTATTTTTAGTTAATTCATTTTCATACGCAGGATAAACATTCCTAGAAAAACCCATCAGATTCTGTAGATATTCTATTGGATTCCTATTGAACTTCTATTGAAAATTCTATTAGCGTTTTTCATATAGAAAATGTCAAATTGAAACAATTTTATAGAAAAAATCAGTAGAATTTCATCAGTTGTATGTCTTTTTATACAACTTTCTCTAGTGTGACATTTTCTGTAGGAAATCTTCGACATGAATTTTCTAAGTTCAGGGATTCCAGTCTATTATTCTTCGCCTAATTAAAAAAATGTAAGGAAAGAACTGCGAAAATTTAAGAGAGCATTGACAATCAAATGAAAGTCTTTGTTCCACTCTCTGTTGCAAGAAATTTTCAATGAAAAACATTTTTCCCCTATAAAAAATCCTTTGAACCTAAACAATCGACCAATCGCCCGCTTGTTCATCTCAGAAAATCCCCGCCGAGAAATTTTAAAACAAATAAACAAGCAAAGTAGTTGAAATAACTCACCGGCGTTGGATGAAAACAACAGCTCCGTTTTCACCTCTGGTACCACGTACCTCTGCTGTCACCCACAGGGTTGAATCCTCCCTTCTCCTTGTCCTTTGTTGTGCTGCTTCGCCCATCTGGCCGGTGTAATGACAGTTGAATCCTCTCAAATGCACTTTCACTCCCAAAATAATAAATTTTATTTGCACTAATAAGAAGGAATGAACGAAAGAAATTCGCTGAACCATGGAAAATTTGACTCTTGGCACATTTCACCAATATTAATTGTATCATGCAATGACTTCCCTCCCCCATTATCACTATTTCACCCTTCACTCACGATTTTTTAAATTAAATACCCCCGAATTCACTCAGACAAAAAATTACAAAGAACAACCGCGACCCCGAAATCGCGCACTGAACGCCACCTTGTGTATTTATCATCACGCCGGCAACGACGGAATTCCCGAGAACACTTTTCACAACCCCACAAAATCCCTCATGTCCATTGTCTCCACTAATTCGACACTTTAATCACATTTTTAGTCAATTAAAAAGTCAATAAACACGAGGAGACTCCCAAAACCCTAGTCCCTTGTCCAGAATTACACAGCAGGCGTCACCTTGTGATGTCACAAAGACGTCGGTCACGCAGGNCACTTTAATCACATTTTTAGTCAATTAAAAAGTCAATAAACACGAGGAGACTCCCAAAACCCTAGTCCCTTGTCCAGAATTACACAGCAGGCGTCACCTTGTGATGTCACAAAGACGTCGGTCACACAGGGACGAGAGATATTTTTCGTGTGAACCTTTCATAATGTCCTGGCACTTGTAAAACACCAGGATAATCGCCAATTCCATCATAAAATGGTTGTTGTCCCTCGTTATTAATTAACTGTTGCATTGTTCATAATTATTTAGACGATTTTACCCTCATTTCTCCTCAAAAACGCGCCAAATCCTTTGTTCAGCGTTCAGCACTGGTAGTCATCTTGAATATGCGCGGAGAGAATGCGCGAGGGACTAGAGGTTTTGGTGGTGTGAATTATTTTTCAGTCTCTAGCGTTTATAATTCGCCACACCGACTATTAATTTCATGATAAAATCATTGCTGGACATGATGAGTAATTAATTGTTGCATTTTTAATAATTATTCAGTTTATTTTACCGTCTTTTTCCGCGAAAATACGTAGAGCAAACGCCAACGTGCCGTTCAGTATCAGAGACTCTCCGCCATCTTGAATAGGCGCAGGGAGAATGCGCGAGGGACTAGGGGTTTTGATGGCGTGAATTATTTTTCAGCCTTCAGCGCTTGTAATACGCCATACCACTCATTAATTTCACGATAAAATGATTCTTGAACGTGATGATTAATTAATTATGGTACTTTTAATTAATATTCAGCTGATTTTACCCTATTTCTCCGCGAACACATGTAGAGCGAACGCCAAACTCCCGAATCAGTAGAAAGGCCAGTCGCCATATTGGAATTTGGAGGTCTCAATGCGCGGGACTATTTTCAAGATGGCGGGTGGACTGGTCGTGTTTGGCGTTCCCTCGTGTATTGTCGGGCAACAAGAGGGTAAAATCAACAGAATAATAATTAACCGTGCAGTAATTAATGGCTCACAATGGCCAACAACAGTTTTTAACATGAAATTGATAGTTTTTATCGCATAATGCAATCGTAAGGACATGAAGGAAATTAATTCACAACGCCAAAAACCTCTAGTCCCTCGCGCATTCTCTACGCGCACATTCAAGATGGCGCAGAGTCTCCGATACTGAACGGCACGTTGGCGTTTTCTCTACGTATTTTCGCGGAAAAAGACGGTAAAATGAACTGAATAATAATTAAAAATCCAACAATTAATTACTCATTACGTCCAACAATGATTTTATCGTGAAATTGATGATCGGTGTGGCGAATTACAAGCGCTAGAGACTGAAAAATAATTCACACCACCAAAACCTCTGGCCCCTCACGCATTCTCCCTGCGCATATTCAAGATGGCGAAGAGTCTCCGATACTGAAAGGCACGTTGGCGTTTGTTCTACGTATTTTCGCGGAAAAAGACGGTAAAATGAACTTAATAATAATTAAAAATGCAACAATTAATTACTCATCATGTCCAACAATGACTTTATCATGAATTTAATGATTGGTGTGGTGAATTACAAACGCTGGAGACTGAAAAATAATTCATACCACCAAAACCTCTAGTCCCTCGCGCACTCTCTCCGCGCACGTTCAAGATGACGACCAGTGTTTAACGCTGAACAAAGGGTTTGGCGTGTTTTTGAGGAGAAATGAGGGTAAAATCGTCTAAATAATTATGAACAATGCAACAGTTAATTAATAACGAGGGACAACAACCATTTTATGATGGAATTGGCGATTATCCTGGTGTTTTACAAGTGCCAGGACATTATGAAAGGTTCACACAAAAAATATCTCTCGTCCCTGTGTGACCGACGTCTTTGTGACGTCACAAGATGACGCCTGCTGTGTAATTCTGGACAAGGGACTAGGGTTTTGGACGTCTCCTCGTGTTTATTGACTTTTTAATTGACTAAAAATGTGATTAAAGTGTGGAATTAGTGGAGACAATGGACATGAGGGATTTTATGGTGATTGTGGGGTTGTGAAAAGTGTCAGTGTTCTCGGGAATTCCGTCGTTGCCGGCGTGATGAAAAATACACAAGGTGGCGCGATGTCGGGGTCGCGGGTGTTCTTTGTAATTTTTTGTCTGAGTGAATTCGGGGGTATTCAATTTAAAAAATCGTGAGTGAAGGGTGAAATAGTGATAATGGGGGGAGGGAAGTCATTGCATGATGCAATTATTATTGGTGAAATGTGCCAAGAGTCTCAAATTTTCCATAGTTCAGGGAATTTCTTTCGTTCATTCCTTCTTATTAGTGCAAATAAAATTTATTATTTTGGGAGTGGAAGTGCATTTGAGAGGATTCAAATGTTATTACACCGGCCGGATGCGCAAAGCAGCACATCAAAGGACAAGGAGAAGGGAGGATTCAACCCTGTGGGTGATAGCAGAGGTACGCGGTACGAGAGGTGAAAACGGAGCTGTTGTTTTCATCCAACGCCGGTGAGTCCTTCCAACATACTCATTTATTTATTCATTTAACGAATTGCTAACGGCCGTTTCCGGAAGGATTTTCTTCTGTACTAATAATTTTCGAAGAAGTGGGATGCTCGAAGCGTCTCAAATAAATCAAAAACCATAAATACCTCAATTCTGATTCTATATTGTACACAAGAGTTTACAATTCAATTCTGTGTTCATGCTCAGCTTGTCACAGTCATCTCGCTTTACATCTTTTTTATAACGCCCTCATATGCTCACACACTCAATTACTTCAATGTCCATTCCACTCGAATTACGATATAAATCCTTAATCGATTGTCATATATTGTAAATCGTATACAATATGTACAAATCGTCTGATGCTTCATAACGATTATCATCCAATTAGCGAAAAACGTATTTATCATTGCTTCGTAATCCCTTTTTTTCGCGTCTGCAGATGCTATGAAAATTCTCACTCACTCACATCTACCCTCTCATTATCAACATATTTTTGCTAGTGGCCAGCAAAGGCCTTATCCAAACGCACACGAGTGCAATACCTACGTATGATTAACGGATAAGAAAAAAATCATTTGGATTATCTATGAAGTAATGAAAAAAAATCCCCTAACAAATAAAAATCTAAGGAGTATGTAGTCATTTCGAAATTTAACCCATGGTATGACGATATCGAGAATGCGTTTGGGAGGGGAAATGATAAAATTCTCCGAGTCGGGCGTGAAATGAAGAATTTCTCCTAAATCATCACTCATGAAATGAACTAAAAATTAATGATCAGTTGGAAATTCAGAAAATTCTAGATCACTATTTCGCGAATATCTCAAAAACTAGTAGGTTTAGAGAAAAATGTCAAAAGATCTTTTTTAAAGCTGACAAAATTCTCTAAGAAATGTTTTTTCACATTTTCCTCTAAACCCCGTCGTTCCTGAGATATTCTCAAAATTATCTTTATAATTGGTTTTAACTTCATATCACTCTCCCATTAGTTTAACCACATGCAAATAATTTAAACCGCTGATAAGATCTTTGAACGATTTATAAACATTGGAATAACCGTGGGGAAGGAGAGAATCCCGTTTTCTAGAATTGTAAAAATTCCTGGCAGTGTCTTTTATTTTCGTTCTCGTCTCGAATGAATTGAAACGTACGGTGATAACCGATACAGAAAAAAGTAATATACAAAAATCAAATAAATATTCTAAATGAGAGTAGTAACAGAAGAGGAAAATGTGAATTTTAGTGAAGAGTATATAATTCAATCTTAAAGCGTTAGAGAAGCATTTATGAAATATCACAGTGTCAGTGCGCAGACACACTGGCCGAGTACTCTACTGCGCACGAGTGAGTGGCGAACGGCATTCGACGAGTATAACCTAAACCGGTGGTCATCAGCTCCCCAAAAAACGTTTTCTAATTAATTTCTAATTAATAAAGCGTTGACGCAATACCGGAAAAGTTCAGAAGATAATGATTCCATAAATTCACATCCATCGTTAAGGGAAATTATCATCACACTTCATCATGATTCAAGGGTGAGTGAAGGGTTAATAACCTAACTACTTCAAAACGCACATTAGATCATGTATACAGGGCTGATTCATTTACAGCCCTTTTCAAATCTAAATGACAATTAAATCAATTGCGAAACAACAGGCAGTTATGAAAGTTTGTGCAGAATGCATCTATAGAGATCTTCAATGTCGTCAGATCAAATAAAGTTATTTTCAACATTCAGTTTTGTCTATTACAGAGCATGACGGAAGCTTGAAAATGGCGTAGAATTTATTTCATTCCACTCTGGCAATGTTGAATTGTTGATAGTGACGAATAATTTTGCTTCATTTCTCCCGAAGTAAACTTAAAATTCTTGTCAATTTTGAAAATGATGGATCTTTTTTTTAACCGAAGAATTTTTCCGTAAAGAGTGTCTTTTGACATTTTCCCCTGAAGCTACTTATTACGAAGATGAGTCAGTATTTAATAAAGAATAATTCCTTGTGAACATAAAGGAATCAAAAAAGAATAGGGGAGACTACTATTATTTGGGAGATTTCTCGTGTTTGAAGATCGATTGAGATATGTTTAAAAGCGACTAATTAGCGCGAAAAAAAAATTGTTTATTGTTCGTTTGCCACGCAGACACTTAAAATGTTAACAATAGTTTACGGCCTCCAATTTTTCAGCTACACAGATTTTTTTTAATTTTCGCAAAAATGTGTACAATAACAATTACGAATTATTTCTTTGAAATTCGGCTCCTACACAGTTAATTTAGTCTTGTTTAAAATGAAAATTTGCGTCATTCATGTAAAATAGGCAGAAAAATTATCCTCAAAATTTTTTACGAAGTATTTTACATGAATGATGCACTTTTTTATTGAAAAAATAATGATCTCAGCTGTGTAGGAGTTGAATGTCAAAAAAATAATTCGTAATTGTTATTGCACATATTTTTTCAAAAATTTTAAAAACTAAAGAAACCTCTGTAGCAGAAAAATTGGACGCCCTGGACTATTTTCAACATTTTAAGGGTCTGCGGGGCAAACGAGTAATAAAAAATCAATTTTTTTGCACTAATTATTCATTTCTAGACATATGTAATTGATCTTCAGAGTAAGAGAAATCGCATTCCAATAGTCCGCGACTTTTAAAACTCATAGTAGTCTCCCCTTAATGAAAAAAATTGTAGAGAATGATAAAATTCTACTGATTTTTTCACATAAAATCAGTAGCGAAGTCGTCAAACGGTTCAAGTCAATTTTGACTATTGGCCAGTTTTCAATGAATATCTCGAAATCTAAGGGAGATAGCAAAATTTTCCTCATAACCGTTTCAGTAGCACTCAATTCGCTCTACAAAAAAGGTTATTATGAAAATTTCGCTATCTCCCTTAAATTCGAAGATATTTCTGAAAAACTCAAAGGCTAAATTCGCTCCTGAAATAGTGTTCATTTCTATGAAACAGTTTCTAAAACCTGCGATAAAGGTACGAAATTTTCCAAAAGAATTAGCTAAAAACCACTGGAATTGCCAATAGAAATTCAATAGAAATCCAATACAATTTTCTAGCGAATTCACAACGTTATTCTCTGAAATTTGTACGTACGTGAATGATTCCATCTTCAGAACTGAAAGGTCTCATAAGACCCCAACTCAAACTCACCTAAACTAAGCCCCGAAGAATCTCCCCATGAAAAAATCCCCCTGAAATCTGAACAAACCGCTTCTCCAGGTACAAAACCCTCTGCAGCACGGTGTCGCGCCTGCCGCCAGCCCTTCCCTCGCGTTTCGCCTCGACCCTCACAAAAACCGAAGCGAAAAAGCACCGAAATGCCCTCTTCGACAGCGAGAAGAATCGCCAAACGTCGTCAGTAGGTAGAATCGAGAAGATCAAGGTGGTCTACCAGAGCCCAGAGGACGAGATAACCCTTCTCATGAACAAGGACATGTCCACCCCCACTGACTGCGCAATGCACATCTCCGAGGGTGTCACCAAGACCTCAGCCCTAGCCTCAGTGGACGGCGTCCCCTGGGACATGCACAGGCCCTTCGTAAGCGACTGTGAGCTCAAGCTCTTCAGCATGAGAAACCCCAACGACAGATCAGTGAACAATGCATTCTGGAGGACGTGCTCACTGATGCTGGGGGCAGTTGTTGATTCGGCCTTCAAGGACGACATCCCCTGCCACCTGCACAGCTTCACAGGTCCAAATATTAAGTCCGGAAGTTTTGTTTACGACGTTCACCTGGAGTTGCCTGATTGGACCCCAACGGAGGCGGAAATGCGATCGTTGTCCAGCCTCTTCACGAAACTCATTCGTCAGGAACTTCCAATCGAGCGTCTGGAGATCACTGAGGACATGGCCCTGGAGATGTTCCAGGAGAATCCCTTCAAGTCCAAGCAGATACCGAACATCGCACTGAACAATGAGGGGAAAATTGTGGTTTACAGAGTTGGTGATCACATCGACATCAGCAAGGGACCTATGGTGGGCAACACCAGGATCGTCGGCAGGAGCACTATAGGCGCCATTCATCGTATTCAGAATGACGCGGGGGAGGCACTCCACAGGTTCCAGGGAGTCGCCCTGCCCAGTGGAATAATTGTTAATCATTTTGTCTATGGAATCATGGAGGAGAGGGCCAAGAAGCTCAATCAGACTTTCTGGATGCCGCAGAGATTGGAGCAGGAGGAATCAGTTGCTGTTGCTGCTAAGAATTGAGGTGATGGGTGTGGCGATTATGATTATAATTATGTAAATAAATTCAGTTGAAAATGAGAACGGATTTACTGTTTTTGGGGATTGGGGTTCTTTTTTTTTGTCGAATTTTCATACTGCTGTGTATTTCACGCAGTTGAAGTTTCATACTACTGTGTGTTTCACGCAGTTGAAGTTTTATACTACTGTGTGTTTCACGCAGTTGTATTTT